AACCAAGGTACATGCCCTTGACCAGAATCGAACCCGGGACCTTTCAGTCCCCAAGCCAATGCTCTATCCATTGAGCCAAACCGGTTTCGGCTTTTCTCAGTGTTTTTATCATGAAAGGATATTGAATTTTGTCAAATACTTCTATATCAAAGGAGGTAATCATGTGTTTTCTCCTTCATTCTGTTAATGTGGTATATTGTAGTGATTGATTTTCACATGTTAAATAAACCACCCTTACTTTGTCCAATTACAAATCCCATTGATGGTGGTGTATAATCCTCATAATGTGCTGTTGAATTATATTTTCTCAAATTTTGTTGAGGGTTTTTGCATCAGAAATGTTGGTTTATTGTTTTTTTTCTTGTAGTGTCTTTGGTTTTGGTATCAGAGTAACGCTGATTTTATAAAATAAGTTAGAAGGATTATTTCCTCTTTATTTTTTGGGGGAAAAGTTTGATGATTATATGTGTGGATTACTTTTTAAATACTTGGTAGAATTCAACAGTGAAGCATGAGGTCCTAGGATTTTCTTTATTGGGAGTTTTTAAAAAATTATTATTATTGATTCAATTTCCATTACTAGTTATACGATTTCTATTTCTTCATGAGCAATTCTTGGTGGATTGTCTGTTTCGAGAAATTTATCTGTTGTATCTAGTTAACCAATTTGTTGGCATACAATTTTTTTCATAGTATTATCTTATAATCCTTTTTATTTGTGCAAAATCACTTGTAATGTCTTCATTTCTGATTTTGGTTATTTGAGTATTCTTTTTTTTTTCTTAGACTCTCTAAAGGTTTGCCAATTTTGATGATCTTTTCAAAGAATCAACTCTTGATTTTGTTGATTTTTTTTAAAAAGGTCTTTAAAAAAAAAAAAAATCTTTGCTCTAGTATTTACTATGTTCTTTCTTTTATTAACTTTGAGTTTAGCTATTTTCCCCTAGTTCTTTATGGTGTGAAACTAGGTTGGTGATTTGAAATATTTCTTTTTTAAAATGTAAATGCTTAGAGCTATACATTTTCTTAGTATTGCTTTTACTGCATCCCATAAGTTTTGGTAAGTAGTGTTTTCATTTTTACTTGTCTCCAGATATTTTAAAATTTTCATATGAATTCTTCTTTGACCAATAGGATGCTTCATGTTTTCTTTTGCTACCGATTTCTAGTTTCGTTTTAATGTGATTGTACAAGATACTTTGTATGATTCCAGTCTTTTAAAAAAATACATTTTTACTTATTTCAGAGAGGAAGGGATAGGGATAGAGAAATACAAACATCAATGATGAGAGAGCATCATTGATCAGCTGCCTCCTGCATATCCCCTACTGGGGATTGAGGCTGCAACCTGGGCATGTGCCCTGACTGGGAACGAACCATGACCTCCTGGTTTATATGTCAAACAGTGTCTTAAACACTGAGCCATGCCAGCTAGGCTGTATGATTCCAGTCTTTTAAAATGTATTAAAATTTGCTTTTTGACCTAACATATATATGTTCTATTCTGGAGAGTTTTCCATTTGCACTTGAGAAAAATGTTTATTCTGCTCTCGTGGGAGCAGTATTCTGATATGTCTGTTAGTGCAGTTGCTCTGTAGAGGTGTTCAACTCTTCTGTTTCCTTTTTGATCTTCTGCCTGGTTTTTCTATTAATTATTAAGTATTAAGGGGCATTGTTTCTCCTACTTTATTGTGTTTCTATTTCTTCCATTACTTCTGTCAATATTTGCTTCATATATGTAGGAGCTCTGATATTTGGTACATATCTTATCTAATAATAGACAAACATGTAAATTGACTGTACATACGCCACACCCACAGCCAATCAGGAGTGAGTATGCAAATTAACCTGACAAAGATGGAAGGTTAATTTGCATATGCAGGTGCAGAGTGACTGGCTGGGGTGGGACGCCTGCTATGAAGGGAAGGAAGTGGGGAGGAGAGAGCTATAGGCGCAGAGTTCTGGCCAAGAGGGGAGACTTGGCGGCTCCCAGTGGCCCAAGAGTGGGGACTTACTGGCTCCCAGGTGGCCTGGAATGAAGCCAGGGGAAAGAAGGCCTATTCTTGCATGAAAATTGTTCAACGGGTCTCTAGTCTTATGTAATAAAAGACTAATATGCAAATTGGTTGCACGGAAGAACCACTGGTTGCTATGATGCACTCTGACCACAGGGGCAGACGGTCAATGCAGAAGCTGCCCCTGGTGGTCAGTGACTCCCACTGGGGGAGCGCTGCTCAGCCAGAAGGCAGGCTCACATTTGCTAAGAGCAGCAGTGGTGGCAGAAGCATCTCCCACCTCCATGGCAGCACTAAGGATGCCCGACTGTAGGGAGCGGGCTTGTCATCAGTCAGACATCCCGTGGGATCCTGGACTGCGAGAAGGTGCAGGCTGGGCTGAGGGACCCCTTCTCTGACCCGAGTGCACAGATTTCGTGTACCAGGCCTCTAGTATATTTATATTTGTTATACCTTCTTGGTGAATCAAATTGCATTTTTTTGGCCATTTTATAAAGTCACATATGATAATCCTCCCTTTTATGGGTTTTGCTTTATTCTCTAGTTTAGAGAAGTTTTAGGCACTACAATATCAATGTATTCTTCTGAAGCATTTGTATTTTTATATTTTAACATTTGCTCCACCCAGAGGTCCAAACACCATTATTTAATGTGGATGTGAGCCTTTATTATTCTGAAATATTGGGTCCCCTAAGAAGTGCAGACCCTGAACTTTCTCCCTGCTGTGTGCTCTGCCTGGCTTAGCTTTGCCTCACTGTTGCCCTCTTTTCCTGCCACTCTTCTACCAAAGTTTAAGTAGTTAATTAGGTGCCCTCACCCACCTCTCCACCCATCTCCGCACCCATCTCCAGTATACCCATCTCCCCACCCATCTACCCTCCCCATCTATCCTCTCCCCACCTCCCCACTCATCTCCCCACCCATCTCCCTATCCATCTCCCCACCCATCTATCCCCTCACCTACCCCCCCATCTCCCCACCCATCTGTCCCCTCATCTACACCCCCCCATCTCCCCAACCATCTCCAGACCCATCTCCCCACCCATCTATCCCCTCATCTACCCCCCCATCTCCCCACCTATCTCCCCACCCATCTATCCCCTCACCTATCTTTCTCATCTCCCTCCCATCTCCCAACCCATCTCCCCACCCATCTATCCCCTCATCTACCCCCCCATCTCCCCACCTATCTCCCCACCCATCTATCCCCTCACCTATCTTCCTCATCTCCCTCCCATCTCCCAACCCATCTCCCCACCCATCTCCTGACCCATCTCCCCACCCATCTCCAGTATGCCCATCTCCTGTCACTGCTGGGTGCCTATGTGCATAAGTACAATAAATTATGGTTTCAGTCAAAACTTTATGCTTGCCAGCCGCAATGCCTGGACAGTGTAAATACTTAATCAATATTAAATGGATAGAAAGATGCTGTGACCTGGATTCCACACACATCCTGGGGATATGAAAGGAGACTCGGAGACTCAGGGATTTGCATGTCACACTTAAGTTCGGGCCAGCTTATCCATTCTTTAATGTCACCAAGGGAGGGGGCTTGGCTTGGCAAGTGAAGGGCTGAACCTGGAGAGGCAGTTACTTTTACTCGGGATCAACCATCTTTCCCAGGAAGAGAGGAATGCTGAAGCTTTTGTCCATCAGGATGACTAAGAAGGGCCTGTTGAACTTGACGGTCAGAAGATTCGACCTGTGCTTTCCTAAAGGCCTGGCATCAGAATGATCAGTCACAATCTCATCGATGATCAGCCTAGCCTCGTGCAGCGCCTGGAAGGAACACAGCAGAGGCATGCTGGGGCAGAGGCGGACTGCGCCAGCCTTGGAGCAAGGCCAGATATGGGGGAAGCTGTGCTGGGGGCTCAAGGAAGGATCTGTGCAGAGGCCCAGTGGGGATCTGGACCTTTATAGCATTTCCTTGATGGAAAAATAAAACAATGACAAACAAGCAGAATTGCCAGCTGGGTGTCTGCCATTGGAGCATTTTTATTAAAAAAAACCCACTGGACTCAAAACTTGATTCATCATGGTGTGGTGGGAAGAACATGAAATGGGGTTATACTCTGTTTCCCCCCACCAATTAGCTTAACTAACTAACTAACTAACTAACTGTGCCAACGCAAGGAGATGAATCTCTTCTCGAGTCCTCGCTTCCTTAGGTAGGAAAATCATGGCTACGTGCAGACCACCCAACAAGCGGGGCCGTTGGGTGTTTCATGTGAGAACCCCAGGCAGTGTAGGTGCTCCATAATGTGTACCTGTGTTAGCGGTGCGCATGTGTGTGTGCACGCACCAGCACAGCAAACTCAGATCTCTGTACCCGGTACCTGTGGGCACCATTCACTGGTTGAACCTACTTGCTCAGCCTCATCCCAGGCTCCTCTCCTTTACTGTTCCTTCCCCAGGAGCTGGTCCTTCCCTGCACCATGCTCTGTCCTCCCTTACCACCTGCTTGTCTTCCTCCAGCCCCCGCCCCTGCAGGGGACACCAGCTCCTTTCCCCAACCCCCACAGGGGACACCAGCCTCTCCACTTCTCAAGGCCTTTGCCTACTCCACCTGCCCACCCTCCTGCCTCCGGACCAACGTTCTCCTCCCTGCAAACAGCCGCACCCCAGGAGGCAGAAGCCGGTCTTGGACTCTGTCCCTGGGCATGTCTCTTGTTTCTAGTGTCCGATTGTGAGCTCCTTGGGGACCAGGAGAAGATGGGACCCTCCATAGCGTCCAGCCCACAGCCAGGCACTCAGTGTGCAGCCAGTACTGAGCGCGGCTGTGGCTGCGGGCCCTCAGTTCTCCTGAGAAGTGGCATCTTAGCCCAGTCCCTCTCTAACGTGGCTGTGGCTCACCAATAGCTCCAATGGCACGGGAAGGGCGGGAGGGGGGTTCCTTGGAAATCCCTCACCCCAGCCTGACTGTGTAACTATGGGTCCATCGAGGCCCAAAGAGGAGAAGACCCTGACCAGAGATGAGACGGGGTCAGTGACACCGCCTCAGAGGACGTCCCAAAGGCCAGGACGCAGAGGCCACCCCCCCTCGGGCGCCTGAGCACGTCCCGGTCTCGGTGAGCCCAGTGGCCTTCCCCAGGGACCTGGGTCTGCGGGGCGTTTGGGGCCCTGGGCCCCCTCCCCAGGCTGCAGCCTGCACACATCGTGCCCCGTGGACCCCAGGGACAGGCTCACCTTGGACAGCTTCAGGGGCTGCCCCTCGCTGATCCCCGAGAGCTCAGCCTCATCATTGAAGACCTTGGTGATGCCCATTTTGCCCAGGGTGGCTTTCAGATCGTAGGTTCCAGAAATGTACAGTTTGGGCATATATAGACTGGCAGAACTGTCAAGATGGTTGGAAAAGAAAGGAATTTCACAACATAGAAAGCTTTTCTTTTCTGGTCATTTCTCCCTCTTGGCCCCTGCGTCTCTACCCGCAGGAGGATGGAGGTCAGTGTTGGTTTGTTGTATTTTTAGGTGCTCTACCCTGTCAGAGAATGTCAGAATAATGTGGCTGCTCTTATCCTGCCTCTCAAATCACCTCCTCTGAGAAGCCCTCCAGGCAGACCTGTACTCTCCTTGGGAAGCACTTTGCACACTGCCCTGCAGGGTGTGGTCACCCCGACTGGGCCTTTGGGGCTGGAATCCCAGGGGGATGTGGGCCATGGTTCCAGGTGCTGAGTGACATTTGCCAGTGAGTGATGAGTGACACACGGGCTGATTGCTCAGCTCTCGTTTCACATGGGGACAGGGTGTGGCCCTGAGGTCTGCTATGATTCTAGCCAGGAATTTTCTACCCTTTCACTCCACGTTCAGACTTTTCCAGAAAGCCCACGACTCCCTCCGGGGTTCTCTCCCGGCGAGTGAGGTGCTGCTCCCTGCGCCAGGCACTGACATGGGGAAGGGCAGTGTCCAAGCGGAAGTCCTCCAGGGCAGGGCTCTGCCTCCTCAGCTGCCGGCACTGTCCCTCTTCGGAACCCGGCTGGTGCTCCCTGCACTGATGCTGGTTCTGTCTGAAAGCAGGGGCGGGCATGAGGAGGGCCCCTCCCCTGGCCCTCTGGCCAGGCCCGACATGGCGGCTCCCGGTCAGCCCGGGCTGGGAATCACCATGGAGCCATGCTGTGGAAGATCCTGGTCAGGTGCTCCTGGCTGACCTCGGCCTCCAGGTGCTGCATCTTCCCCTCGTCGGGCAGGATGAGGAAGGCGGGCACCGGGCCCCGGTAGCGCTGCAGCAGCACCCAGGAGGAGAGCGCCTCGTCATGCAGCAGCTCAAACTGGCCCGAGCGGCGGAACATGAACATCCGTCTCATGGTCTTCTTGTCCACGTGGAAGTCTTCTACCACAAAGGTCTCAGGCTCCAATTTCACCTCCAACAGGCCTGGAGAGAGGGAAGGCGCCGGTCAGCCAGGAGAGGGGAGGGGTAGGTACCCGTGGCAGAACGCAGGCCCTAAGCCTCCTGCGCTCAATGACGGGACTTCAGTGGGGAGTAAGCCGCTGGAGGAGGGTCCACGTTGTCTATATTGCAGAGGCTCAGGATGCCAGCCTGGCTGGGCAGAGTAAGCATGTGGACTTGTACTGCATGCCATTTACCTGTAATGGAGGGTTGCCCCGAAGGGGCTGAATGAAAATGACTGGCATCAGCCACACTTGGCAGGTCCTGCCTGAGCCTCCCTGCCCTTGACTCGGGCTCTCCTCATTCGGGGAAATCACGTGGTTCTTCCTCTAATGGCCTTTCCGGGCCAACACGTGAGACGCGGAGGCCTGGGCACCCCCCTCTGCTGTTCCAAGAGACCACAGCCGCCCTGCCAGGTGGGAGTGCACAGGAGTCTCAGGGAGCCCTGAGCCCTTTTCTCATTGGATGGAAGGTGGAGACTGAGGCTGGAGAGGGGACAAGACCCGCCTGGAGTGCCCCCGCTCAGCTGGGCCCAGGATGTGCTGACTCTGGCCTTGGCGCTCTCCAGGGCATTTTCTGCCCCGGGTCAAGGAGTCCACAGAGAGAAGGAAGCAGCCCCTGACCTTGACTCTCACCTCCGTGTCCCAGCCTATGTCCAGGGACTGTTTCACCAGCCTCACAATGTGCTCTGGGACCCACAGGCTTCTGGAATTTTCTTCACTCAGAGGGAGGAAGGCGGGCTGGGAGTCAAATTCAGCTGAGTACCCACATTGTGAGCCTGCAGCCCCGTGTTCTTTGTGACATGCGTACTCATTACAGAATCCTGACAACACAGGACTATTATGTTCATGTCCAGACAGGATGCTGGACCCTCAGAGAGGTACAGAGACTCGCCGAGAACCAGACGCTGACGGGGGGTGCAGGCAGGATTTGAACCCTGTGCTTCTGACTCTAAAGCTGCCACTTCTCCCACGACACCTCAGCAGTCCAGGAGACCTTTGTTTTTAAACACTGCTAATGTGTGTGTGTCTGGCTCTGTGTTGCGTGTGTGTGTTGGGGGGGTATCGGGGGGGCACATTGCATATTGTGCCTCCATCCCTGGTGAGGGTCTAGGGTGCACGTGGAACAGGCACAGAGGCTCTGGCAGGTCCTGCAGGGAGGGTGATGCTCTGACTCTTTGATCGCTGACTGTATTGGTCGGGGGCGTTTTTCTGTGTTTGTGTGGGGAGAACGGTTCCCCTGCCCAGATGCACAGTCACGTGGCACCCTGCTCCGCCCAGGAAAGCTTAGGAACTGATGTTTGCTAATGGTTTTGGATGTTTCCATGGGAATCAGCGCAGGCTGGTGGTAACACCTACCTTCGAAGACGATGTAATCCACCAGAATGAGAGTTGTATCTTTGTCAAACTCTTCGAACAGATCCAGATCTTTCTCCTGGATTTTCATCTCTATGAAATTGTTGACCTTTGTCCGGGCCTTGGCGTCCCTGAAACGGAGGCAGAAGACATCTGAGTGTCGCAGCTCCCAGACGTACTTCAGAAACTCGTCCTTGAACTTCACACTTAGGTTGGCAAACAAGATGTTGCCAGTGATCAGCCAAGGCTCGCTGTCTGACTTGTTGATGCTGTGGAGGAGGTTCAGTAAGCCTGTGTAGATGGCAGCCTCAGGCACCTCCTTCAAGTCCAAATGTAAGCCCTCCAGGAGCTGGGTGCGAGTGGTGCCCTCGGCGCCCAGGGAGATCATGGCGAAGGCCGTGGCAATGCTCACTGGGGAGAAGAAGATGTTGGTGGCTTCGGACTGATGGGCCACCTGGCGGTACAGGCTGAAGGCGAAGTCGGCCAGGTTTGGCGCGATCTTGTGGCTGGCGGACTCCTGAGCGTGCTCGGCTGCATCCGTGTCCTGGGCAGCGTCTCCAGCCCGGGCGGCCGGGGCCAGGCAGCACAGGCCTGCCAGCAGGAGGAGGCCCCAGGTGACGGAGGACGGCATTGTCCTGAGAGAGAGAAGGGGCATGCCGCCCAGGTCAGGCCCCACAGTGAGCCCCCGGCCCCTGACTCACACCACGCCCAGCGGCCGCAGCCGCTGCAGCTGCTCCCCCTGCAGCCCCGTGCAGCAATCATAGGTGCAGGTCTCTGCCAGTTCTCAGTCCACAGAGGAGGAGACCGCAGTGCCGCAGGCTCAGTCACTTGTCCAAGGTCACAGAGCTTGCACAGAAAGGAGCAGGGCTTAGGGAGTGTGGGTCACGCTCTCCACGGCTACCCTGACATCTGAGTGACCCCGAGGTGCAGGGACCTCAGCTCCTATTTCATCAAAGGAGAAACTGAGGCACAGGACACAGATGCCTGGTACGCACAGTTACCCAGGAAGCAGCCAGCTCTGCCTCAGGGGTGACCGGATGTGAAACAGCTCCAAGCGGCTGCCATGGGACTTAGTTATTTCACAGCGGAGAGGCTGCTGCCCAGAGAGGGAAAGATCTTGCCCAGGGACACACAGCGGGAATACACGGAGCCGGAGGAATGCCGCATCGCCGGCCTGGCCCAGATCCTTCCTCACGCCGCACACTCCATCCCTCCCCTTTTCCTCACAACCAGGGCAGCTTGCCCATGTGGGCCCTGAGCCTGATGCGCCCTAGCACCCGGTCCTGTGTGTGCCAGGCCCGGGGCTGCTGGGCTGTTTGGAGGAGGAGCACCCGTGAGCCCTTCACCGGAGGCCCTCCCGGACGGCCACTGTCTGAGGGAGCCGCTCCTTGTCTCCACTTTGCAGGAGGCCAGGAAGTGAGGCTGGCGAGGGCTGGTGACTTGGTCGCGGTCACGCAGCTGGCCAAGCAGAGCCGGGACAGGCAGGCTTCTGGCTTCTGGCCCAGCCCTCTGTGCTGGGCGCTGCCACCTGCTCACTCTTCCCGCTGGAACCTGGCTTTGCATAGGGGTCGGGCACACAAGGAGTCAGTGGCTCAGCCCAGCACCAGGAACACGGGGGCAGCAAGGTCCCGGCCCGGGCTGTCCTCCCCGGTCGACCTGCCTCCGTGTGACAACGGCGGGTTTGCAGACCTTGCCAGTGCCTCCGCGGTCAGAAGTGCCCATGTGGGCCTCCTGCCCCCTGGTTAGCCATGTCTCTTACTTCAGGCTGGGTTTGTGTCACGTGAGTCCCCACTGAGTGTGCCCCTGGGGCCACCGTGCTCAGTAGCCCTGTGAGTTGGGCGTGTGTTCTTGGGTGGGACCTTGTCTAGGGTGCCAGGGGCCGAGGTGGCAGGTCGAGTCGAGGCCTTGGGGAGATGCAGTGAACTCCTCTCCTGCCCCTGGGAGCTTGGGCACCCTTCTTCACCAGGAACTTAATGGCAGTCACCTCTACAAGGCTATGGCAGCCGCCTCGGAGTGTCAGGGCTATTCCCACTGAGCAGTCACATGGCCACAGCCCCTCGAAGCTGTTTCCAGCTGGCCCGCAGCCAGTGCCCGGTCCCACCCCCACATTATCTGCAGTGGGCTCGCCTGCCCATGGGCAGGACCCAGCCCAGCCCTGGGCCCAGGTGACAGAGCTCAGATGCTGCTTCTGCGGTGACACAGGGTGGCTGTGCAGGAGGCGGTGCGAGGGAGTCTCTGTTAGCCTCGGACAGGCCTGGATCTGAACGGCCCCGTCCTTCCCCAGCTGTGGGCCCACATGCTCCTCTCTCTGAGCTCCCCTTTCACGTGAGATCGCCGGGGGAAGGGAGCAAAATCAGCCTCGTCATCAAAGCTCACAGCCAGAAGAGAAGGCCATCAGCTCTGTGGGGGCAGATTGTCGTGGGTTTTGCAAAGTAAAACCTTTAGGATCCATGAGGGGCCAGCTGATATCAAGGTGGCCGTGAACCCAGATAAGAGAGGGGAAGAGGTGGGAGAGGAGGGTTATCGGAAGAGTTAATGAATACCCTCAGCCTTCCAGAGATCAAGGCCGGCTTGGTGGGGTAGGAGGTCGGGGCCAGGAGCAGAGGGGAGACCATGGGCCTCGCTCTGGAAAGTGGGAAAAGCTCATCAGGCACCTGAGATGGACAGGGCGTGGAATTGAAGGGAAACTCACAGCCCCTGCCTCTGACTGAGATTTAAAGGAAGCGGGTAAGAAAGGAAACAGGCAGAGGAGCTGGGCTGTGCACAAACAGCAAGTGCTGCTGAGGATGTGGGGCGAAGGGAGCCCTAGTTCCCTGCCGCTGGGGGTGCAGACTGGTGCAGCCACTGTGGGAAACAGTATGGAACTTCCGTTTGACCCAGCGATCCCACTTCTGGGAATATATTCTAAAATCCCTACAGCTGCAACCAGAAAGAACGCATGCGCCCCTGTGTGCACAGCAGCACAATTTTCAATAGCTGAGATCTGGAAGCAGCCCCAGGGCCCATCAGCACAGGAGTGGATAAGCAAGCTGTGGACTCTGCACCATGAAATGCTATTAAAAAAAATGAAAAAAGAAGCTGGGCAGAGACTGGGGAGTGGGAGGGGGCTTCCAAGGGGACGGCTCCCTGCCTTTGCAGGTGGCAGAATCCCGGTGATGCCACCGAGGCCACAGGGAGGGGTCGAAGAGAGAAGCGGCAGCGAGCAGCTGTGCCTGCAGCACTGGTGTCTGAGAGGGCCCGCTCCGGGCGTCTGACGGGAGCGAGCCACACTGCCAAGCAGGACAGAGGGCTCGCCGAGGGGCCTCCCAGCCTGACCCAGCAAAGGCAGCCTGGCCTGCTGCACCTCAGTCATCCTCCTGTCAAGTGGAGGTGGCACCCCCAGCCGGCTCACCCCAGCCCAGCTCCGGGAAGGCTGTGGGAGGGTTACACACTCAACACGTGGAACTCACCTGCTCTCCAGAGAGCCTTGCCGGGCTGGACTCATCTTGCAGGCTGCCCGTCTCTCACGGTTCCACCTACTTATAGGGCATCTCGTGGGGAGGCGAAGTTCCATGGCCCAGTAACCGCACCCCCCCCCCACCCCCCAACACCCACCCCCGATGCTGCAGGAAATGAGCCTGGGAGCCTTGAGCACTCAGCCAGGGAGTGCCTGATACCATCAGCGCCTTACTGTGCCTCCCTGAAGCAGCCTAGTCTAGCAGAGCCAGCATGTGCCAGGCCACCTGAGGGTGGGGTGATGGGGCCCGGGGCCAGTAAGACCAAAGGGCCCTCTTGCGTTGATGCCCACCTCACAGATCTGTGGAGAGGAGTAAAGGATGAAGACATACTCAGAGCCTGGGCCTGGGCCTGAGACATGGTTGACCTCCAACAGATGTCAGCGTCCTGAAGTCACTGGGCTTAGGCTGCCAAGGTGCCAGCCCCAGGAAAGCTCTCCTTGGACCTGGAATCGGCCTCCAAGGAGCATGTGTCCAGGTGGGAGGGCCATCGCAGGCACCTCCAGGAGCCAAGACTCAGAGTGACCCTGGGGAAGAGTGACCCTGGCCACCCTGAAAATATCAAGGCCTCGAGGGACCTTAATGCCCCTGTTAATGAGGAAACCAAGGCTCCCAGCGGAGGGACCCGCTAGCGTGCCCGTGGGAGGCTGTGGAAGATCCCAGTTCATCTGGCTCCTGCTCCTGGTCCATGGTAACCAGCTGTTGCAGTCTGTTGCAAGTCACTCCTCTTAGTTTTGTTAGTGAATGGGCACAGGGAAGCGGGAAGCTAGCCCAGAATCATTACCTTTGGAATCTACAGTCTTGAGAAACGTGTCATATTTGGCAAGAACCAGCACTACAGAACACTCTGCAGAATAGTCCACAGAAGAAACGTTAGCTGGTTTTTAAGTTGATAATTTTACATGACCTGCGAAGGATGTTATCAAAATCCAAATAGCCCTTGGCAGAGAAAGGGTTCCCACCCCTGGTAAATGTACCACAGCTTGTTTATCCACTCATCTGCTGATGAGCACTTGTGCTACTTCAAAGAAACAAAGAAAGGGACCCCTAGAGAACAATGTGGTGATGGCTGGAGGGAGAGGGGTGGGCAGGTGACAGAGGGTGAAAGGGCACCCATGGGGCAGGAAGAGAGTTGATTTTGGGTGGTGAGTGCATGATGCAGGAGGCATGCAGATGATGTGTTACAGAGTGCACTAGAAACCTGTATGGACTTATTAACCATGCCACCCCAACACATTCAATGAAGATAAGGTGAAGACAGACTTCTGCTCGTGTGGCTGTGTCCCCTGTGGAAGCCCCGCTGTGACATTGAAGAGCATCCTCACAGCCCCATCTTCCACTGTGCAGTGTGCCCTCTGTGCCCAGATGGCTGCACAGTGACAAGTGGCACAGGCAGTACTGCCTTGGGGCGGATTGGGCTTCAGAGAGCACACGGCTCCGCTCATTATCTGCCCCCTCTGCCTGTGTTCAGGCCCTCCCTGGGGTCTGCCCTGCGGTAATCCGCTCCTGTGTGACTTCTAAGGGCACCCCCAGATTTCCTGGCATGTGCTCACCACAACACCTGGGCCATTTCCTCCTGGTGAGCTTATCACCCCTTTTCTGGCGTGTTCGAATACTTTTCCTCCCTGAGGGTTGTCTTCTGCCTTCCCTGGTCCTTCTAATCTAAGCCACAATTGAAGGCTTGCTTCTTAGATGATTTATATAAATATAGAGGCCCAGTGCACAAATTTGGGCATGGGTGGAGTTCCTAGGACTGGCCAATGATCGGGTCATCTAGCCCAGTCCTTATCAGGCCATAGGGGCCAGCCGGCCAGGGGGAGGACCCTGGGAGGTTGGCCAGTTGCAGGAGGTTGACTGTGGGAGCGCACTGACCACCAGGGGGCAGGTCCTGCGTTGAGTGTCTGCCCCCTACTAGTCAGTGCACGTCACAGCGACCGGTCGTTTGGTTGACTGGCCATAACGGTTGCTTAGGCTTTTATATATATAGATATACATATTTATTTAAAATGATTTCAGAGAGGAAGGGAGAGGGAGAGTGAGAAAAAAACACATCAGTGATGAGAGAGAATCACTGCCTCATGCATGCCCCACACTGGGGATCAAGCCTAGACCCTATATGCCCTGTCCGGGAATTGAACCCTGACCTCCTGGCTCACAGGTCAGTGTTCAGCCACACCTGCTGGGCTGTTTGCATTTTCTTGCTGAAGAGGCTTTGCGGAGAGGATCAAGGGGGGCCCTCGGGTGGGAATCAATATGTAATCTGTAGTTTCCATTTCTGAGGCAGTGCACACGTGTGAGAACCTCGAGCCCCCTTGAACTGGGTCTCCATTTTAGTCTTTCCAAGGTATCCCCCGACCCTCAAAATTAGCCCTTTGAGGACACAGGCTAGGAAGCGTCATCCCCAGTGACAGGAGGGAGATGGTGCCCACCCATCAGGGCAGAGCTCCCACTGAAACTCGGCAGCGAGTTAACTAGCTGTGCCTTGCCCTGAAAAGCGATAGCAGCGTGACTGTCACAGCCAGGCAGTCCCTGCGGCATCCCAGAGGTCGCTGTGAGTTTTCTACATTTCACAGGTGAGCTGGGGCCCCACTCAAGGGGAGACCGACCACACCAGCCCAGGCCCAGCACCGGTGACTCCAGCTGGTGATGGCAAGAGAGGCAGGCTGCAGAGGGCTGGAGGCTGGAATTGGTCAGCGGTCTGAGATGGTCTGGGGAATGTACGGGTGGCCCAGCTGAAGTGAGGCGCCTGCCTTCTAGGCCTGGGTTTTCTGTCGGCCAGAAGCCCAGCTCCCCTCTTGCCGTTGGAGGTAACGGTTCCCAGGCTGTGTCCTTCAAGGACTGAGTTTGAGGGTCGTGGATATACTGGAAACACGAAAGAACAGGCAAAGCTGATGCCGAAACTGGTTTGGCTCAGTGGAAGAGCGTCGGTCTGTGGACTGAAAGGTTCCAAGTTCGATTCCTGTCAAGGGCATGTACATTGGTTGTGGGCACATCCCGTTCAGGGGCGTGCAAGAGGCAGCTGGTTGATGTTTCTCTCTCATTGATGTTTCTAGCTCTCCATTTCTCTCCCTTCCTCTCTGTAAAATATCAATAAAATATGTTTATAAAAAAAAAATGGAAAGAAAAGGCAAAGCTGAGGCTGATGGCTGTCCTGCCTGACCGTGGCCTGCTCTCCTAGGACAAGGCTGCCGGATGTTTTCTTTGCCCACCCCAGGCATGGGTCCCGTTGGTTCCCATGTGAGCCAGTGTATTCTCTGGTTGCTGTAAGCTCCTTGGATTGGCTCTCTGCAACCAGAGTCCAGACTGTGTAGTGACAGGCCCCCTTTGAGGTGAAATGATGGCATCTCCAGGGAGTGCCCTTCTTGGCCGTGCCCTGGACTCTCCAGAGTTCCAATTGCCCCTTTACTGCCACAATGCCAGTACTGGCCAGTGGGTAGTGCGGGTTGCTTGCGGAGGGCTGTGTGCTCAGCACCCTTGTGCGGAGGGGCTATAGTGATCAGCTGCTTTCTTGCGAGGGTGTGGGCAAGGGGTGTTTTCTGTGCAGAGGTGTGTTCTGGGCCCCAGCCTTCCTCATACTTCAGGATTGTGGGGGATTCAGCTCTGCTAAGCCCATGGGTTTGTCTGGGAGGGGACGTGGGTGATGTGGTGAGGTGTGAAGGACCAGGGAGGCCCCCTGAAACCAGCTCTACCACTCACTAACTCTGCAATCTTGAGCAAGCCCACTAGCCTCCCTGAGCCTCAGTGTCCTCATCTGTAGAATGGGTATGCAAGAGCAAAGCAGCTCTGTTCACAGCATCATAGCGCTGCTCTGAGGATTCATTGAGAAAATGCCTGAGCAGCCCCTCCCAGAGAGCCTGGCATATAGGAAGAGCTTGTAGTGCCACAAATAAATCCCTGGCACTGGTGCCCTGCTCTGCTGCCCTTTGAAGGCTGTTTTAGGTATCCGATGTGAACCTCACAGGAAGGACAGGTAGCGTTTATAGTCACACTAGAGACTCGGTGCACAAAATTCATGCAAGAGTAGGCCTTTTCAGCCCAGGCTTCCTCCCGATGGTTGTCCTGTTGGTTGTTCTGCTATTGGGTCTAATTAGCATATTAGTTCTTTGTTATATAGGATTATTATATAGAATGGGGATATACTGTGGCTCAGAGAGGTTTGGCGAGTTCTCTAGTCATAACCCTGGAAAGTGGCAGAGTCTGAACTTGTCCCAGGTCCTCAGATCCTCAGGGCTGGCATCATTGTAGGTGTCTGACAGTGTTCGTATCATTACTGGAATAAGAGGAAGTTGGAAGTCTCCAGGCGGGGAAGACTGGAGACGATAGGAGGCTTATTTGGGAAACAGGTTACTCTCCATCCATTACGGTAACAATGTGACAGTGCACGTATGTGGCCATTTTGATTTAAACAGTGTACATTTCTGTGACACATCCTTGTCCTGTAGGTGGAAATTCATCCCCAGTGTGTGGGTCAGACTGTGGTTCTGAGGTTTGTGTGGAGGGGGAGGTCCTTCTACCTCTGTCCCTGATCCCAGGCCACGCCCATTCCCAAGAGCTCAGGGAGCTGACTGCTCCAGGCTGAGGGACTGCCCGGCTTCCTGACTGCTTGCAGGGTGTGTGTGTGTGTGTGTGTGTATGTGTGTGTGTGCATGTATGTGTATGTGTGTATATGTGTGCATGCATGTGTAAGTGTGTGTGAGTGTGTATGTGTGTGTATGCATGTACGTGTATGTGTGCATGTATGTGTAAGTGTGTGTGTGTGAGTGTGTATGTGTGTGGGGGATTTGCTCTCAGGACAGCCTCCTCTGCGGACCACAGGGACGCCATGGGGCAGGAACAAGGCAGGTTGAAATGTGTCTCCTTCAAGAGGTCAGCCAGGAAAGGGCAGGTGGTCTGGTGGGGTCACTGCCTACTGTGCTTCCCTCCCATGATGAAGGAATCATTGTAATGACTTTGCAGAGGCTCCCAGGACAAGCTGGCCGCATGGTGAGGGGAGGGATGTGTCTTGGGGGGTAGCTGTCCTGCTGAATCTGAGCAGGTGATGCCAACCCGACCAGAGAGCCTCTTCCTCACCTCGGACAAGTGAGCACGTCTACAGCGTATCTGAGGGTCCCGGGAGAGTGACAAGGCAGAGTGCGTGCTCCCCGTCCAGCCTGTGGAAAGGCTCCTGGAGAGAGAGACCTCTGTGGTCAGGGCCCAGCCTGGCTCAGGAGACCTGGGATGAGAGGGGACCTGGCTTCTCTGCCTCTGTGTTGGACACGCAGCAGCTCAGCGCCCCGGTGGGAGCTGCCTGCGCTGGGGCACCAGGGAGGTGGCCTGGTGGTGGGCGAGCAGTCCTGCAGGGGGAGGGCCTCCCAGGGGCACTGGGTGCGGTTTGGCAGGAGGACCCGGAGGATTTTGGTGGAGGGGCTACCAGCTGGACACTGAGCCATGCAATGCCCCCTGGGCACTTTCCAGGCTCGACTGGCCCCTGGAGCTGTTCCGAGCGATGGGCAGAGGCAGCAGGCCGTGCTGACAGCAGCCGCACACGCGGCCCCGCACAGGGCTGGACGGTGTACACGTCTAATAAATACCAGCACCGGGGGCACGTGACCTACCCTCCTTCCTCCCCACCCCCGGTAGAGAGGGCAGACTCAGGGACAGGAGGAGGGATTGGCACCCACACTCCAGCTTGGGCCTGGCCAGTCACTTTATTGTCACCTTTGGAGGGGCCCTGCCTGGGCGGGAGGCTGAGCCAGAGGGGCAGCTAATTCTGGGTGGGATTCACCACCTTGCCCACAAAGAGGGGGGCTTTGGTGACTTTATCATAGATGACCATGACGAAGGGCCTGTTGAAGTTAATCGTCGGGTGCACTGACTTCGAAGTGGCTTCCACAACCGTGGCCCCAGTCGCTTCGGTCCCCTTCTCATCCAGGGTCAGCACAGCCTTATGCACGGCCTGGCGGGGAGAGAGCAGAGCTGTGGTCTCAGTGACACAGCAAACCCCACTCCGGCCTGGGAGGTGGGCCAGGGAAGGCAGTGGTGCTGGGAGGGGAGGCTTCCCGGACCTGTTCCCTCCTCCCAGGTCGCCCTGCAGGGGACACCAGCTCCTTCCTCCAACCCCCACAGCGACACCAGTCTCTCCACTTCTCAAGGCCTTTGCCGACTCCACCTGCCCACCCTCCTGCCTTCGGACCAACGTTCTCCTCCTCCCTGCAAACAGCTGCACCCCAGGAGGCAGAAGACGGACTTGGACTCTCTGTTTCTGGGCGTGTCCTATTGTGAGCTCCTTGGGGACCAGGAGGACATGGGATCCTCCATAGCGTCCAGCCCACAGCTAGGCACTCAGTGTGCAGCCAGTACTGAGCGCGGCTGTGGCTGTGGCCCTCAATTCTCCTGAGAAGTGGCATCTTAGCCCAGTCCCTCTCTAACGTGGCTGTGGCTCACCAATAGCTCCAATGGCACGGGAAGGACGGGAGGGGGGTTCCTTGGAAATCCCTCACCCCAGCCTGACCGTGTAAATATGGGTCCATCGTGGCCCAAAGAGGAGAAGACCCTGACCAGAGATGAGATGGGGTCAGTGACACCGCCTCAGAGGACGTCCCAAAGGCCAGGACGCAGAGGCCACCCCCCCTCAGGCGCCTGAGTACATCCCGGACTTGGTGAGCACAGTGGCCTTCCCCAGGGACCTGGGTCTGCGGGGTGTTTGGGGTCCTGGGCCCCCTCCCCGGGCTGCAGGCCGCACACATCGTGCCCCGTGGACCCCAGGGACAGGCTCACCTTGGACAGCTTCAGGGGCGCCCCCTCGCTGATCCCTGAGAGCTCAGCCTCATCAGTGAAGACCTTGGTGATGCCCATTTCGCCCAGGGTGGCTTTCAGATCGTAGGTTCCAGAAATGGACAGTTTGGGTATACTCACACGGGCAGAACTGTCAAGATGGTTGCAAAAGAAAGGCATTTCACAACATGGGAAGTTTTTCTTTCTGGTCATTTCTCCCTCTTCTCTTGTTTCCTCTGGGGACAGAGCTCAGCCCCAGAAGGTCTGACAGGAGCAAGCTGCCTGGCGTTCGGGCCCTCTCGGACCCAAGCGAGATTCAGCCCCTCCTTGCTCTCTGTGCTCAGGCTCCGGTGAGGGCACCCAGGCCTGGGCTTGCCGGTTGGGGCTTTACTGTCTTCTTAACTTTCACTCAGACTGTGTGTATTTTTATATTCATTTATACATACGTTTGTAATGTATTCTTTTCTTTGTTATTGACTTGTGCATTTATTTGCATTCTGATTTATTTGATTGTTTATGTTTGCACTGCACACATTTATGCATTTACGTATAGGTTGTAATGTGCGTAATGAACTCTGCGTGAGGACAGGCATCTGTGAGCGCAGAGCGATGTGTACTAACTTGGGGCACATGCTCCATGTCAATGTACCCAGCCCGGGGGAACCATGCGCTGCCGGCCTCGGAGCAGGCAGCCTCCCACCCCGCGCCTTCTCTGTTCTGGCCTCTCCGAGCCCTGTCCCTGCACAGCGTGGACTCTCTGTCCTCACTGCACGTGCGGCTGCTGCCTCTCAGGGCACCTTGGTGCTGCTCTCCCTGCACCCACCGCTGGCACCGCTCTCACGGGGTGCTGCCTGAGCTACACTGGCCTCTCTGAATGCTCGGGGTCATGCAGTTGTTTGATGCACAGGGTGTGGTCCATTCTCGCCCCACCGCCAACCCCGCCCCCGCCAGGCAGGAGGGGCAAGCAGCACAGGCCAGGGACCTCACCCGTAGGAATTCATTTCCAGGGCCATGTTGAGGTCCTCCTTGCTGAGCAGCCCCTCCATGTGGCTCAGCTTCCCCTCGTCAGGCAGCAGGAAGAAGGCGGTGGCATTGCCCACGTAGTCCATGAGCAGCACCCAGCTGGAGAGCTTGCTGCAGTAGTGCACGTTGAACTTGCCCATGCGCTTCATCATGAGCACCTTGACCGTGGTGGCCTCGTCCACGTGGAAGTCCTCCTCCATGGTCTTCTGCTCATCGAAGGGCCTCTCCCATTTGCCTGGAGAGAGGGAAGGCGCCGGTCAGCCAGGAGAGGGGAGGGGTAGGTACCCGGGGCATAATGCAGGCCCTGAGCGGCCTGCATGAGAGGGCTCTCTGAGCCTCAGCTTCCCCATCAGTCAAATGGAGCTCACAGGGACCTGCAATCACTGAGGGGACTTCAGTGGGGAGAAAGCTGCTGGAGGATGGTCCACGTTGTCGATATTGCAGAGGCTGAGGATGCCAGCCTGGCTGGGCAGAGTAAGCATGTGGACTTGTACTGCATGCCATTTACCTGTAATGGAGGGTTGCCCCGAAGGGGCTGAATGAAAATGACTGGCATCAGCCACACTTGGCAGCTCCTGCCTGAGCCTGCCTGCCCTTGACTCGGGTTCTCCTCATTTGGGGAAATCACCTGGTTCTTCCTCTAATGGCCTTTCCGGGCCAACACGTGAGACGCGGAGGCCTGGGCACTCGCCTCTGCTGTTCCAAGAGACCACAGCCGCCCTGCCAGGTGGGAGTGCACGGGAGTCTTGGGGAGCCCTGAGCCCTTTTCTCATTGGATGGAAGGTGGAGACTGAGGCTGGAGAGGGGACAAGTCCCCCCAGGAGTGCCCCGGCTAAGCTGGGCCCAGGAGGTGCTGACTCTGGCCTTGGCGCTCTCCAGGGCATTTTCTGCCCCGGGTCTGGGAGCCCACAGAGAGAAGGGAGCAGCCCCTGACCTTGACTCTCACCTCCGTGTCCCAGCCTATGTCCAGGGACTGTTTCACCAGCCTCACAATGTGCTCTGGGACCCACAGGCTTCTGGAATTTTCTTCACTCAGAGGGAGGAAGGCGGGCTGGGAGTCAAGTTCAGCTGAGCACCCACATTGTGAGCCTAAAGCCCCGTGTTCTTTGTGACATGCGTACTCATTACAGAATCCTGACAACACGGGACTATTATGTTCATGTCCAGACAGGAAGGTGGACCCTCAGAGAGGTACAGAGATTTTCAGAGAGCCAGACGCTGACGGGGGGTGGAGGCAGGATTTGAATCCTGTTCTTCTGACTCTAAAGCTGCCACTTCTCCCACGACACCTCAGCAGTCTAGGAGACCTTCTTTGTTTTTAAACACTGCTAATGTGTGTGTGTCTGGCTCTGTGTTGTGTGTGTGTGTCTGTATGTGTGGTGGGTGGACTGGAGGGGCACATTGCATATTGTGCCTCCATCCCTGGTGGGGGTCTAGGGTGCACGTGGAACAGGCACAAAGGCTCTGGCAGGTCCTGCAGGGAGGGTGATGCTCTGACTCTTTGATCGCTGACTGTATTGGTCGGGGGCATTTTTCTGTGTTTGTGTGCGGAGAACGGCTCCCCTGCCCAGATGCACAGTCACGTGGCACCCTGCACCACCCAGGAAAGCTTAGGAACTGATGTTTGCTAATGGTTTTGGATGTTTCCATGGGAACCATCTCTGGTTGGTGGTACCACCTTACCTTTAAAGAAGATGTAATTCACCAGAGCAAGCACTGTGTCCTCAGCAAGCTCTTGGACCAGATCCACAATTTTTCCCTGGGTTCCCTTCTCTACGTAATCGTTGATTTTTTTCTTGGCCTCTTCGGAGTTCTGGAAGTTGACGGAGAAGGCTTCGGTGTGGTACATTGTCTTTACGTCCACCAGAAACTTGTCCACCAGCTTCAGGCTGTCGCTGACAAACAAGCCGTTGCCGGCGGTCAGCTGCAGCTGGTTGTCCGGCTGGTTGAGGGTGTGGAGGAGGTTCTCAAAGCCTCTGTGCACGTCAGCCTCTTCTGTCTCCGCGGGGTTGAAACCAAGGCCCTCCAGGAGCTGGGTGCGAGTGGTGCCCTCGGCGCCCAGGGAGATCATGGCGAAGGCCGTGGCGATGCTCACTGGGGAGAAGAAGATGTTGGTGGCTTCGGACTGACGGGCCACCTGGCGGTACAGGCTGAAGGCGAAGTCGGCCAGGTTCGGCGCGATCTTGTGGCTGGCGGACTCCTGAGCGTGCTCGGCTGCATCCGTGTCCTGGGCAGCGTCTCCAGCCCGGGCGGCCGGGGCCAGGCAGCACAAGCCTGCCAGCAGGAGAAGGCCCCAGGTGACGGAGGACGGCATTGTCCTGAGAGAGAGAAGGGGCATGCCGCCCAGGTCAGGCCCCACAGTGAGCCCCCGGCCCAGACTCACACCACGCCCAGCGGCCGCAGCCGCTGCAGCTGCTCCCCCTGCAGCCCCGTACAGCAATCATAGGTGCAGGTCTCTGCCAATTCTCAGTCCACAGAGGAGGAGACCGCAGTGCCGCAGGCTCAGTCACTTGTCCAAGGTCACAGAGCTTGCACAGAAAGGAGCAGGGCTTAGGGAGTGTGGGTCACGCTCTCCACGGCTACCCTGACATCTGAGTGACCCCGAGGTGCAGGGACCTCAGCTCCTATTTCATCAAAGGAGAAACTGAGGCACAGGACACAGGTGCCTGGTACGCACAGTTACCCAGGAAGCAGCCAGCTCTGCCTCAGGGGTGACCGGATGAGGAATAGCTCCAGGCGGCTGCCGTGGGACTTAGTTATTTCATGGCAGAGAGGCTGCTGCCCAGAGAGGGAAAGATCTTGCCCAGGGACACACAGCGGGAATACACGGATTCGGAGGAATGCCGCATCGCCGGCCTGGCCCAGATCCTTCCTCACGCCGCACACTCCATCCCTCTCCTTTTCCTCACAACCAGGGCAGCTTGCCCATGTGGGCCCTGAGCCTGATGCGCGCTAGCACCCGGTCCTGTGTGTGCCAGGCCCGGGGCTGCTGGGCTGTTTGGAGGAGGAGCACCCGTGAGCCCTTCACCGGAGGCCCTCCCGGACGGCCACTGTCTGAGGGAGCCGCTCCTTGTCTCCACTTTGCAGGAAGACAGGAAGTGAGGCTGGCGAGGGCTGGTGACTTGGTCATGGCCACGCAGATGGCCAAACAGAGCCGGGACAGGCAGGCTTCTGGTTTCTGGCCCAGCCCTCTGTGCTGGACGCTGCCACCTGCTCACTCTTCCCGCTGGAACCTGGCTTTGCATAGGGGTCGGGCACACAAGGAGTCAGTGGCTCAGCCCAGCACCAGGAACACGGGGGCAGCAAGGTCCCGGCCCGGGCTGTCCTCCCCGGTCGACCTGCCTCTGTGTGACAACGGCGGGTTTGCAGACATTGCCAGTGCCTCCGCGGTCAGAAGTGCCCATGTGGGCCTCCTGCCCCCTGGTTAGCCATGTCTCTTACTTCAGGCTGGGTTTGTGTCACGTGAGTCCCCACTGAGTGTGCCCCTGCGGCCACCGTGCTCAGTAGCCCTGTGAGTTGGGCGTGTGTTCTTGGGTGGGATCTTGTCTAGGGTTCCAGGGGCCGAGGTGGCAGGTCGAGTCGAGGCCTTGGGGAGATGCAGTGAACTCCTCTCC